CTGGGCATGGTGGCGCATGCCTGTAGTCCCAGCTACTCGGGAGGCTGAGGCAGGAGGATCGCTTGAGCCCAGGAGTTTGAGGTTGCTGTGAGCTAGGCCGACGCCACGGCACTCACTCTAGCCTGGGCAACAGAGTGAGACTCTGTCTCAAAAAAAAAAAAAAATTTCAAAAATTAGCCAGATGTGGGGGTCTCAAGCCTGTAGTCCCACTACTAAGGAGGCTGAGGAGGGAGGATCAGGAGTTTGAGGTTGCAGTAAGCTATGAGCACACCGCTGCACTCCAGCCTGGGCAACAGAGCGAGACCCTGATTCGAAAAAAAAAAAAAAAGAAAAGAAAAGTGCTAGATGCCCAGTTATATTCGAATTTCAGATTAATAGCAAATAATTTTTTGCATAATTCCCAAATATTGCATGGGATATATTTATGCTAAAGAAAGTGTTGTTTATTTGAAATTCAAATATAAGTGGGTGTCCTGCATTTTGTCTGGCGACCGTAGACCAAGAAATCCAGCCCACAGTCTCCTGGCCAAAAGGCTCATTTTCTTCCTGTGTAGCGCTGGGCCCAGCCTGATGTTGACGACTCCTACCACGTGCACCCAGAGCTTTCCTGCCCAGGCCCCGCCTGGCCCCCACACAGACTCCGGGAGGCAGGTGCTTCTTCTCACCCCCATTTCACAGATGGAACCATTGAGGCCCACAGAACATCATCGCTTTGGCCTCGTTGAGGCCCTGCCATGCACCTGCCTGTGTAGCCCAGTGGCTAAGGAATCTTAGAGACGAAAGAGATATTAACAGCTATGATCTGCAAGCAATGCACTGCCAGGATCCACGGGAAAACCTTTCCTTGTATGATATCATGTTGTTCAATGTCCTGAAGTGTGGACTGTGGCTCCCATTTTACAGAGGGGGAAACTGAGGCCTGCAAAGGGAGCTGTCACGTGAGGTGGTGCCAGGGTTCGAACCTGGTTCAGTGCAGGAGGCCAAAGAACCTTCTACCTTCTGTCAGGCCAGGGCGCTGGGAGAGTGGGAAGGAGGGAGGCCTGCAGGGACAGGCATGGCCTCTGATTGTCACTGTCACCTGGGTCCTTCTCTCTGAAGTCTCTGCCAAGGGGCGTGGGGAGGTGGCCAGGGGAGGGCCCTGCTCAGTGCAGCTTTCCCTCCCCCGGCCTGGAGAGCTGAGCACAGAGGGACAGAGGGACGGAGCCCCCAGAAATGTCGCTCCTTAGATGCAGGTTCCGGGTCCCGCCCTCCCTCTGCTTCTGCGTCCTGGTCCTGGCCCGTGTTGTGGGTGAGGAGAAGAGGGTGGGCGGCTGTGGGGACCCGCACCTGGGTGGGGTGTGATGTGGCTGTGTGTCATGTGGGGATGGAGCATGTGTGCTTTGTGTCGGGGACTGCGTGTGTCACTGGCTGAGTGTGAATGCGGGGTTGGCACAAATCACAGTTGTCACCCGTGTGCGTGTGTGTGCAAGCAGAAGAGTATGCAGCCGTGGTAAACATACGTGTCCGTGATTGTGCGTGTGTATGTGCGCATGTGTGT